ATAACAAGCTGTAGTCAGGCGCCGTGACGTCATTCCGTTCAACTGACCGCTTGTCATTGTAGCCGAAGCCAGAGTCAGTTAACCTCGCCCACATGTTCGGTCAAGTTTACTTTTTTTTCAGTTTTTACTGCGGAAAATCCTTAAATAAATCCGTTTGTGGGATCTATGACTCTATAATATGTTGAGGGATTTATCGAAGGTACATGTATACAGTATAATGGGTACAAGTGTTTGTTAATAATAATAATTACAGGTAGACGCTAAGGTTATAATTAATTATACTTTACCTGTTCAATAACTGTTCTTAGTTAGATAAATTATTCCACCTATGTTAATATTTATTGAAGGATTTTTTAATTTATCTGTATTTTAAACACACACACACACACTAACACATTCTTCCGACAAACCAACAATTTCAGGCCAATTAAAATCGCCATTACACCATAACTAATCCCTATTGGTCGAGCTGAAATCTGTCCAAGTCATTAGTACTAACTACCTGCACGGAGGGGGGTCGTTAGCGCAGCACCTCTAATTGCCCTGTTTTCATAATAGCTTGCAAGGGTGTGTGCGTTGAGACAAACTAACCAATTACTGTAGCAAATTGATCCATGTAAACGATGTTGTTACTGGTTATTATGTATGTTTTAATTGTTGTGGTTGTTGTTATGGTAGTGGTGGTGGTTGTTGTAGATGTGATGATGGTGGTGGTTGTGATTGTTGTTGTATTCTAGGCTCACATCACGGTTATAATTTGACAGTGAACCGTAGTGGTTGTCATTCATTACGACACACACACACACACACTCACCTCTACTGATTGGACTATTAATCATTTCCTCATAACTGGTGGTTAGAGTTGTGATTTGTAATGATTAGTAAAGAGTCGTACGATAATCCGGGCCTCGTAACTAATGAAGTCATGATTCGTAAATTAACGACGCTTCCAATCACAGTAACTTCAATGTTCAAGTAGTTTGTACCTGTACCTGTATCTGTATCTGCACTTGTACCTGTTCTTGTATCTGTACCTATATATGTACCTGTCTCTGTCTCTGTACCGTAATCTCTGTACCCTCAAGACACAACGCAGCGCTCAAAGAACATCCTCACGTACATTTAATATATATTTTTCAATTTTGTAAACAAGGAAACAAACTCACCGCTGGCTCTCAGTGTGGTGGCTCCTGCAGTATTTGTCGTCGGGTTTGTGTGCGTGTGTAGCAGGTGACGTCAAGGGAATAAAGGATAATTAATATTCTGTCTCAAGTGTTTGTTTTGCTTTTGGAAAGGATGACGAAAACGGAGGAGACGGAGGTAGGTTAAGGGAAGACTCTTCTATGATTCACTTAACCCTTTGAGGATGATAGTCTAATCCTTGTGATGACAATGATTTAACCTTCCAGGACTAAAGGGGTTATACAAACGCTCCACAACACCCTCATACACTCCACAACACCCCCATACACTCCACAACACCCCCATACACTCCACAACACCCCCATACACTCCACAACACCCACCCCCATACACTCCACAACACCCCCATACACCCACAACACCCTCCACAACACCCCCATACCTCCACAACACCCTATACACCCACAACACCCTCATACCTCCCACAACACCCCCATACACTCCCACAACACCCCCCTTACACTCCCAACACCCCCATACACCCCACTAACACCTCATACACTCCCCAACACCCCCATACACTCCTAACACCCTGCACTCTAACACCCCATACACTCCACCCAGCTTACCCTCATACTCCACAACACCCCATACACTCACAACCCACCCCCCATACCTCCCTGGCTTACCCCCATACCTCCACAACACCCCATACACTCCCCATTTCCCCCATACACTCCACAACACCCCCATACACTCCACAACACCCCCATAACCGACTCAAGTTTCTGTGAGTAAACATCTATTTCGGTCAGTTCTTAGTAGACCTCTCAGTGACCGGACTGTTAACTTTGGTGATCTGAAACACTCTGAAACACGCTGAAACACACTGAAACACTTTGAAACACACTGAAACACTTTGAAACACTCTGAAACACACTGAAACACGTTGAAACACTTTGAAACACTCTGAAACACACTGAAACACTCTGAAACACACTGAAACACTTTGAAACACTCTGAAACACGCTGAAACACACTGGAACACGCTGAAACACACTGAAACACTTTGAAACACTTTGAAACACACTGAAACACACTGAAACACATTAAAATAACAACCACCACCGCCACCACACAAATATCAAATGAACAACTACAATATTATCCCAGTCATTCTTCAGTGAGTAAATAATCATTGAGTTATAAACCGAGTAATTAGTTCCCAAATTTGCCTTAATGACGTTTACTTGTGTTAGAAAGATAACCTGAACTCCTGACTCGTAATTACCCGAGTGAAGTAGACAGGTGAAAAATATAATTGGTGGTCATATAATTACCTCAGTTTAGTCTTGTGATCTGGAATTTGAATGTTTGTGTATTTTGTGTATTTGGGTGTATTCAGTATATACAGTATATGTTGTATTTTGTTATTCTGTATTTTTATGTGTGTGTGTTTGGGGAGGACCTTACACTGCACCTTGATATCAGAGGTGTCATATCCGGTGAGCCGGCCGGATGCCCAAACATCCGGCCCTTTCCTCCGTGATCTCAGCCTCATTACCCAATCATCGCAGCGGGTCTGATTGCCTCATGAATACTCGCCGCTAATTGGCTGATCAGTTTCCCCAACATGATGGCCGTCTCGGATGGGGATTGGTTAGTTAAGAGAGGGAAGATGGGGGATTGGTTAGGTTAGGTTACGTTAGCTTAGGTTAAATTAAGTTAGGGTAGGTTAATTTAGAGTAATTTGAGGTACTTTAGGTTAGGGTACGTTTGGTTAGATTAGGTTAGTAAGGTAAGCTAGGTTAGGTTAGGTTAGGTTAGATTAGGTTAGTAAGGTAAGCTAGGTTAGGTTGGGTTAAGATATAAGGTTAGGTTAAGTTAAAGTAGTTTAAATTCGAGAAGTAAGTTGTATTAAGTTAGGATTAAGTTCGCGAGTTAAGTTATATTTAAGTTAACTTCCTATATTAAATTAACCCCGAATCCTTATTATATTATTTGTTAATAACGTAAGGTAGTGTTGAGATTCGTCTTCACACACACACACACACACACACACACACACATACACACACACACACACACACAAAACTCTTCTCTCGACTCTTACTCCAAATCAATACACCCCCCTCCCCAACCAAGGCCAGCACTACTCTCACTCTCCTTCAAACTCTCACTCCAAGGCCAGTCCCACTCTCACTCACTCACTCTCCCTCCTCTTCCTAATACGTTTACTGAGTGTGTGAGAGAGACCCTCCCTATGGTCAGTCTTTGTATGTGAGTAACGACACATTGTCCCTCCCTCCTGACCGCTTCGTAAGGCTATTCAACGAGTCTATAGTACAGTCTTCCCCTCACCTGAATAGTGCCTCACCCTCACTACCACCCCCCTCTACCACCCCCACACCCTCACTACCCACACTACCACCCCCACCACCACCCCCCACACCACCACCCCCACACCACCCCCACACCACCCCACCCCCACACCACCCACACACCACCCCCCACACCACCCACCACCCCCACACCACCCCCACACCCACCCCCCACTACCACCCACCCACCACCCCCACACTACCACCCCACACCACCACCCCCACTACCACCCCACACCCACCCCCACACACCACCCCACACTACCACCCCCACACCACCCCCACACCACCACCCATTACCACCCCACATTCACCCCACACACCACCCCACACTACCACCCCCACACACCAACCCCACACCACCCCCACTCCACTACCACCACCCCACACACCACCCCATTGCCACCCCCACACTACCACCCCCCACCACCCCACTACCACCCCACACCACCCCCACACACCACCCCACACTCCACCCCACACTACCACCCCCACCACCCCCACACCACCCCCACTACCACCCCACACTACCACACACACCACCACCCCCACACTCCACCCCACACCACCACCCCACCACCACCACCCCCACACCACCCCACCCCACACCACCCACACACACACACCACCCCACACCACCACCCCCCACACTACCCACACTACCCACCCCACTACCACCCCCACACCACCACCCACACCACCCCCACACTACCACCCCACATTGCCACCCCCACACCACCCCCCACACACCACCCACACCACCACCCCACACCACACCCCACACTACCACCCACACTACCACCCCACTACCACCCACCCCACACCCCTCCACCCACCTCCACCCCCCACTACCACCCCCACACTTCCACCCCACTACCACCCCCACATGCCACCCCCACACACACCCCCCACACCTCACCCCACACTACCACCCCACACACCACCCCCACACTCCCCCCACACTGCACCCCACACTACCACCCCCACCTGCTCCCCACACTCCACCCCCACACTACCACCCCACATTACCACTCCCACATTACCACACACCCTTCACACCCCCACATCAACTTTCATTGTTGTGTATAGAGCTTCACTGTTCTTGATTATTAAAAAGTAAAAATATAAATAAAATATCTTTCGAATATTAATATATAAAAACAAGAGAATTCAAGATAATGAAGAAAACAAAAACATACGAAAAAAATAAAAATAAATCTGTTAAAAAATCCTTTCCTTTAGCAGATTAAAAGAGACAATTTTACCAGCACTCAGACCTTCGATAACTCGCCCAGACGCTCACAGTTGGAGTGACAGAACCAATCGTAACTTTCCGCCTCTCAGACCCTTGTTACTGATTGGTGGACAATACGTGACGTGTCCTCAAGCGTGATTTATTGTGTGTGTGTGTGTGTGTGTCCTTTCCTTCAATCCCTCCCTCCTTCCCTCCACTAAATTCTTCTTTCCCTCCCATAGTGTTGCCAAGTCTGCTGCCTCCCTCCACCACCCTGCTTGGCCCAGCAGAGGAGACAGCGGCCCCACCAGCAGGAAGCTCCCCGGTGTTCACTCAACAGAACAACACTGAAAACCGCGCTCAAGTTGGCACCACCGCTGTTCTTCATTGTCTCGCTCACAACGTCGGGGAGAGCGGTAAGAACACGGTGAACAATTGTTCCATTGAAGACTGAACATTTCGTACGGTGGGCCTGAACATGTAGTGAACATCTAGTACTAAGGGCTGAAAACATAATCAGGAAAGGGTAATGTAATCAACGTGTGTGTGTGTGTGTGTGTGTGTGTGTGTGTGTGTGTGTGTGTGTGTGTGTGTTGTGTGTGTGTGTTTTACCGATGAAGGTTTAGAGATTGTAATAAAGGGGATAACTACCAAGGGAGAAGGAAGAGGAACAGAAGGACGAGAAACGGAAGAAAGAACGAATGGGAAGAGGGAGAAAGTGAGTCAATGAATTAGTAACCGAAAGGAGAGGAAGAGAGAGAGAGAAAAGAAAGGAGGGGAGTGAGGAAGGGTAGGAGGAGGGAAGGAAAGATGAAAGGAAAAGAGGAAGAGGAGTAAAATATTAGCGTCACAACTACTGTTTTAGTCTCTTCTCTTCTTCTCTTCCCTCCCTCCACCTGATGAACCTTTGAAAACATGAGGAAAGAAAATCGAAGACGACACCTCAGTTCTCAGCCCTTCATGCAGGAGAGTGGGGGTAGAGGGAGGAGAGAGAGACCTTCCTCACTGATCCTGAGAGAACAGCTGAGAGAGAGAGAGAGAGAGCCTTCCTCACTGATCCTGAGAGAACAGCTGAGAGAGAGAGAGAGAGAGAGAGAGAGAGAGAGAGAGAGAGGCCTTCCTCATGATCCTGAGAGAACAGCTGAGAGAGAGAGAGAGAGAGAGAGAGAGAGAGGACCCTCCTCACTTGATCCTGAAGAGCAGCTGAGAGAGAGAGAGAGAGCCTTCCTCACTTGATCCTGAGAGAACAGCTGAGAGAGAGAGACCTTCCTCACTTGATCCTGAGAGAACAGCTGAGAGAGAATACCCTCCTCACTTGATCCTGAAGGCAGCTGAGAGAATGAGAGAGAGCCTTCCTCATGATCCTGAGAGCAGCTGAGAGAGAGAGAGACCTTCCTCACTTGATCCTGAGAGAACAGCTGAGAGAGAGAGAGAGAGAGAGAGAGAGAGAGAAAAGAGAGAGAGAGAGAGAGAGAGACCTTCCTCACTTGATCCCTGAGAGAACAGCTAGGAGAGAGAGAGAGACCTTCTCATGATCCTGAGAGAACAGCTGAGAGAGAGAGAGAGAGAGAGAGAGAGAGAGAGAGAGAGAGAGAGAGAGAGCCTTCCTCACTTGATCCTGAGAGAACAGCTGAGAGGAGACCTTCCTCACTTGATCCTGAGAGAACAGCTGAGAGAGAGAGAGAGAGAGAGAGGGTGGACAGATACGGAAAGATTGAGAGACTGAGGTACGAGTAAGGGAGACAGACAGACAGACAGACAGACATAAAATGAGAGAGAGAAACACGACCACACTAACAAAACAAATGAAGAATGGTGGTAGTGGTGGCGGTGGTGGTATTTGTGATGGTAGTAGTAGTAGTAGTGGTGGGGTGGGTGGAGTAGTGGCGGTGGTAGTAGTGGCGGTGGTTGTGATGGTGGTGGTAGTAGTAGTGGTTGTGATGGTAGTAGTAGTAGTAGTGGTGGCGGTGGTAGTAGTGGCGTGGTTTGATGAGTGGTGGTAGTAGTAGTGGTTGTGATGGTAGTAGTAGTGGTTGTGATGAGTAGTAGTGGTTGTGATGGTAGTAGTAGTAGTAGTAGTAGTGGTGGCGGTGGTAGTAGTGAATGGTTTGATGGTGGTGGTAGTAGTGGTGGTGTGTGTGTGTGTTGTGATGGGTAGTAGTGAGGTGGTTGTATGGTAGTAGTATTGGTTGTGATGGTAGTAGTAGTAGTAGTAGTGTGGCGGTGGTAGTAGTGGCGGTGGTTGTGATGGTGGTGGTAGTAGTAGTGGTTGTGATGGTAGTAGTAGTGGTTGTGATGTAGTGTAGGTTGTGATGGTGAAGCGTGGTTTGTGATGGTAGTAGTAGTAGTAGTAGTGGCGGTGGTATTGGTGGCGGTGGATTTGTGATGGTGGTGGTAGTAGTAGTGGTTGTGATGGTAGTAGTAGTGGTTGTGATGGTAGTAGTAGTGGTTGTGATGGTAGTAGTATTGGTTTGTGATGGTAGTAGTAGTAGTAGTAGTGGCGGTGGTAGTAGTGGTGGTTGTGAGGTGGTGGTAGTAGTAGTGGTTGTGATGGTAGTAGTAGTGGTTGTGATGGTAGTAGTGGTTGTGATGGTAGTAGTATTGGTTGTGATGGTAGTAGTAGTAGTAGTGATGGTGGTGGTAGTAGTGGGGTTTGTGATGGTGGGGTAGTAGTGGTTGTGATGATGGTGGTAGTAGTGGTTGTGATGGTAGTAGTGGCGGTGGTTGTGATGGTGGTGGTAGTGAGTGTGGTTGTGATGGTGGTAGTAGTGGTTGTGATGGTAGTAGTGGTGGTGGTTGTGATGGTGGTGGTAGTAGTAGTGGTTGTGATGGTGGTAGTAGTGGCGGTGGTTGTGATGGTGGTGGTAGTAGTAGTGGTTGTGATGGTGGTAGTAGTGGCGGTGGTTGTGATGGTGGTGGTAGTAGTAGTGGTTGTGATGGTAGTAGTAGTAGTAGTAGTGGCGGTGGTAGTAGTGGTGGCGGTGGTGTAGTGGGGTTGTGATGGTGGTGGTAGTAGTAGTGTGGTTGTGATGGTAGTAGTAGTGGTTGTGATGGTGGTAGTAGTGGTTGTGATGGTAGTAGTAGTGGTTGTGATGGTGGTAGTAGTGGTTGTGATGGTGGTAGTGGTGGTGGTAGTCAGCTAGACACACGTGTAGTTGGACTTAAAGAAACTTGTTCGTCCTAACTCACTGTCAGACTATTAGGAAAACATTTTAACGACCAGAGACAATTAGACACTCGGGTGAGATAGTTAGCAGTCGTCAATGGTAACAAACTGTGTGGTATTAATAATTTAGATGACTGACGACTGACACACGCTGACGTTTGCTGTGTGCGTGTGTGTGAAATAATAATCAAGACACTCATGTTGATACACACTCAAACACACACACACACACACACCTGCTGACATACATACATTCGTACATGCAGACATGGCTCAACACACACACACACAAGGCGTTTTATGCTTGTTCTGATGTCTGTTCACTGTTCATTACTAACGTTTCTGCAAGTTATTTCCACCTTAGATAGATAGACAGATAGATATTCTGGGAAATCTTCGTCCTTATAGACAGTGCAGGAAGGGAAGACAACAAAGCATTAATTCCCCATCAGGGAGAATACGGCACAAAAACAAATCCCTTTTTTTCATTAGGAAGAGTACAAGACTTAGACGGCTGGCAGTAGTTTCCCTACAGCTAGAGTACACAGTAAAACATTTCTGGTATTAGTTTCTCATCAGGAAGGGTAGACAACAAAGCAGCATGGACTATTAGGAAAAGTGCAAAAACAAGCCTGCTGGCGATAGTTTCCCTGTAGGTAAAGTACACAATGAAAACATCTGGTAATAGTTTCTCAGCAAGAAGAGTACACGTCAAGTTAACATTACCCAAGAGTTCCAAGGACATTCTTTACTCAGACGCGCACTTGTTTCCCAGTGAGGAGCGTAACACTGAGACATGGGTCAACATGAACGCTCGGAAACAACTTTTAAAACAAAGAGAAAAAAGATTTAACTCACAGCAGGAAGAGGAAGAATACACGAACAGTTCACTAAACTCAGTTGTGGCCCGCTCAAAACACCTGCCTCCCTCACGCTTATTAACCGATGTGACGGTGGCCCAAAAGGTGTGGTACTGTGGTCAGGCAGGTGTGGTATACTGTGGCGAGGCAGATGTGTAACTTTGGCGAGGCAGATGTGGTACTGTGGCCAGGGAGGTGTGGTTACTGTGGCCCAACAGGTGTGGAACTGTGGCCAGGCAGATGTGGTACTGTGGCCCAACAGGTGTGGTACTGTGGCCAGGCAGATGTGGTACTGTGGCCAGGCAGGTGTAAGTTACCTTAATGTTAAATTAAATTTGGTTAGGTTAGGTTAGTTTAACCTAACATAATCAAACCTCATCTAACCTAAGCACAATCCAACCTAAACTAACCCACTGTAACCCACTCCCCAGCCTCACCACCACACAGTCACTCACCACCACACAGTCACTCACCACCACACTCCCCAGCCTCACCACCACACTCCCCCAGCCTCACCACCACAGTCACTCACCACCACACTCCCCCAGCCTCACCACCACACAGTCCTCACCACCACACCCCCCAGCCTCACCACCACACTCCCCCCAGCCTCACCCACCACAGTCACTCACCACCACACTCCCCCAGCCTCACCACCACACCCCAGCCTCCACCACAGTCACCACCACACACCCCCAGCCTCACCACCACAGTCCTCACCACCACTCCCCAGCCTCCACCACCACAGTCACTCACCACCACACTCCCCAGCCTCACCACCACATCACTCACCACCACACTCCCCAGCCTCACCACCACAGTCACTCACCACCACCTCCCCCAGCCTCACCACCACACAGTCCTCACCACCCACTCCCCAGCCTCACCACCACACACTCCCAGCCTCCACCACCACAGTCACTCACCACCACACCCCCAGCCTCACCACCACAGTCACTCACCACCACACCTCCCCCAGCCTTACACCACACACTCCCCAGCCTCACCACCACACTCCCCCCAGCCACACCACCACAGTCACTCACCACCACACGACCCCCACATACCGCTGACCCAAAATTGCCTATTTTATGGCACTTTCACGGTGAGGGGAAGAGAGAGAGAGAGAGAAGGGGGTGAGAGAAAAGGGGAAGGGAAGAGAGAGAGAGAGAGAGAGAGAGAGACAGAGAGACAGAGAGAGAGAGAGAGAGAGAGAGAGAGAGACAGAGAGAGAGAGAAAATGGAAAAAAAGAGAGAAGGGTAGGAGGAGGAAATGGAAGAATGGAGGAGGAAGGAGAGAGAGAGAGAAAAACCAGAGAATTTGGGGGAGAAAAACAGTCGAGGTGGGGTGCTGGGGTGTTAAATATCAGCAAGTGTCAGAAGTATTTGTTTAGCGTGTGTAAATCTCATCAGCTGGACGCTCTCGCTGACATGTAAGACCCCAACTGTGTTTGTAAACAATGAGAACATTCGAGTGCAGCCGAATATTCATACTTGATGCATTCATGAACGTCTCTCATCAGATGAACACATAAAAATTAATTAGTTACACGCATAATATTAATTAAAACACAAATACATTTAATAAACTCCACCAATTATATTTAAAAAATGCCCAAAACTGTTTTCAAATATTAAATAACTCCCTTGGAAATTTATAAAACGCGTAAGAACTCTCAGTGATACTTAAATTCCTCCGGACTCTGGAAGAATTGCAGTGTTTCAGTACTTAGAAATATCATGAGCGTCAGGAGGATATATTTAAATATGACTCGTCCTTTCTTGCAACTAAGACACCCACCTGACCCCACTCCTCCCCGCCAATTGAGACACGTACCCACCTCCTCTCCTCCTCTTCCTCTTCCCCTCTCTCCCTCCTCCTCCGCCACCATCTCCTAACTGGTGCTAAGTGAGCGTCTCCAGTTAAGTATTTGGGGCTGTTACTTGTGTTTTAGTTCAACAAGTTAAGTACATTCTTTAATCTTTTGCGGGGAATTACCATCGTACGAACCTCAGTGACTCACAGAACTAAACTGTTGTTACAGGGTCGTATTTCCTTTCATGGGGGATCATCCTCCTTCTCCCCTCCTCCTTAACTCTCCTTCATCCTTCCTTCTCTACCTCCTTCTTTCCTTACTCTTATATGTTTACAGCTTTCGACAACTTATCTTAGTAACTTGTAAATGAATCTAGAAATATGTAGCTGGGTGTTTGGGGGTTGGGTGGGTGAGTGTGGAGGTGGGGTGTGTGTATAGGGAGTATGTGGGTATGTGTGGGGAGATGCAGTGTGTGTGTGTGGTGTGAGGCATATGGTATTATTGTTGTTGTCGTGTTGAAAGGTGTTTCAGTTACCAGGGTTATTAAGCACCGTTCACTAGGTCTCGGCTTCCTACTACAGATAACATTTACAAATCACAATAAAAGTAACATCATCATCTTCACTACACCACCTCTGTCGCAGGAAAGCAAAACTGCATAATAAAAACCGCCACTACCTAAAAGCTTATGAAAATTTCTCACAATAATTGCTGAGCTCAGAATTTAGATTAAAATTCGCGGAGCTGCATTGCAGAGCTGTGACTGCCTCCAGCATGCAAGTGGGCGGAGCTAGATGTCCGCCGCCGCGCTGACTGACGCCACTTGTCATGTTAACAACAGTCGGAATACTTCTGGATGAGGACTATCGATATTCTCTTATGTGTCTCCCCCTTACCGATACAACAACAAACTGAGGCTCTATTCTCAGAAGACCGTAACATCGTGCGGTAACGTAAACTGAAGACATGAGAATCTATTTAATAGGCTCAAATAAGTTACGACACAGAAATTTGCTCTCCAAAATGGTAACGACTTAGACAGAATATACATTATAATTATGGGACAATTCGAACCCTTGCCACCAAAGAGCCTTGCTGTCCAGCACATCAACACGCAGAGCGCCTGTGGTTGTGCGTAGCTGGTCGGTAGGAAAAGTAACACCAGTTCGGCTTGTCGGGGGTCTGGTGAGTGGTGGTGTAGATGATGGTCTATTGTTATTGAAGGACACGGCTGGAGCACTGATAGGGGGCGGTGCTAGTGTCAACATAACGCAGTATAGTACAGTACTACACGTCTCTACTGCTTCAATAGATTAATCATAACAGATGTTTCTCATGTTAAGAAGAATGAGGTGTGTTGGTGTGGGAGATTAGTAAACAAGTGTGGTTCGTGTTACAGTCAGATAAACTTATATTTTTAACAGCCTTGTATGTTTAGATATACTGTTCATTGAATCCTATTTACATTTGTGTGTGTGTATATCCGTATATATTTGCAGTGTTGAATAATAATAATAATAATAATAATAATAATAATAATAATAATAATAATAATAATAATAATAATTAATGACAGCACATACAAAATTACAAGTAAACTTAAAAGTAGGTTAATACTGCTGGTACACTCACACACACAGTTATAAACTAACTGCTGGGTGTTTGTGTATACTTTGTGTTTAATACTTTGGGTAAAAATTATTTCTTTATGAAGGAAGTTGTATTACTTGGTGAATTTGTGTTGTAAAATATATATAGTTTTTGTTTAAGGTGCTCTGTGGTGCTCTCTCTGCCTGCCTCTCTCTCTCTCACACACACTCCCCCATTCCCTCCCACTTCTTTGCTCTTACACTCTCCCCCAGCTCTCCCTCTCTCTATCTCCCCCTTTCCTCCCTCACTGTCCCTCTCCTTCACCCCCTCCCTCACCCATCCCCTTCCTCACTCACTCTCTCCCTCACTGCCTCTCCCTACCACTCACTCTCTCCCTCACTCTCCCTCACTCACTCTCTCCTCACTCACTCACTCTCCCTCACCCACTCTCCCACAGGTGTCGTGGATCAGAAGGAGAGATTACCACCTGCTTACAGTTGGCTCCCAGACCTACAGCAGTGACAGCAGGTTCCAGGTCCGCTACATTAAGCAGGATAATGTGAGTAGCAGATGATTTCAAGTGATTTAGAGAAATTTTATGGGGATTTTGAAAGATTTGGGGAGACTTTAGGAAATTTTATTGAGACTTATAGGATATTTGGGGAGATTTATGGATATTTTGGGATTTTTTTTTTTAGATTTCTTAACCCCTTCCCTCTTCCTTTTCAGTCCGCGGGTTAGAGGCCTCAGGCAATACTGTACTTATAGAGGCAAGAGTGCACCTATAGCGGGTTAGAGGCCTCAGGCAATACTGTACTTATAGAGGCAAGAGTGCACCTAGCGGGGTTAGAGGCCTCAGGCAACTGTCTTTATAGAGGCAAGAGGCACCTATAGCGGGTAGCCTCAGGCAATACTGTACTTATAGAGGCAAGAGTGCACTTAGCGGGTTAGAGGCCTCAGGCAATTGTACTTATAGAGGCAAGAGTGCACCTATAGCGGGTTAGAGGCCTCAGGCAATTGTACTTATAGAGGCAAGAGTGCACCTATGGGTTAGAGGCCTAGGCAATACTGTACTTATAGAGGCAAGAGTGCACCTATAGCGGGTTAGAGGCCTCGCAATACTGTATTTATAGAGGCAAGAGTGCACCTATAGCGGGTTAGAGGCCTCAGGCAAATGTACTTATAGAAAGAGTGCACCTATAGCGTTAGAGGCCTCAGGCACATTGTACTTATAGAGGCAAGAGTGCACCTATAGCGGGTTAGAGGCCTCAGGCAATACTGTACTTATAGAGGCAAGAGTGCAATTATAGCGGGTTAGAGGCCTCAGGCAATACTGTACTTATAGAGGCAAGAGTGCACCTATAGCGGGTTAGAGGCCTCAGGCAATACTGTACTTATAGAGGCAAGAGTGCACCTTTATAGCCTTCCGTTTAATGAGATGTGCTCCTTTAAGTTCCCTCTACACCTGTCTATTTCTTCCTTTTCCCCTGACACTAATTTATTCCATTTTCTTTCTGTTTTATTAGTTTTTCATTGTTCTTATCTATTCCGGTTTCATTTTATTATTTGTTTATCTCATTCTTTATCTTGTTATTGCTGATCCGGGTTTTTTCTTCTTCACATTCTGTCTGTCTGTGTCTGTGTCTGTGTCTGTATATGTTTCATTTCTACTGGGGTCCATTTGGTTACATACTAACACTGGCCTCACGTGGTCTCTCCCTGGCCTCACGTGATCTCTCCCTGGCCTCACGTGGTCTCTCCCTGGCCTCACGTGGTCTCCCTGGCCTCACGTGGTCTCTCCTTGGCCTCACGTGGTCTCTCCCTAGCCCCACGTGGTCTCTCCCTAGCCCCACGTGGTCTCTCCTAGCCCCACGGTCGCTCCCCAGCCCTCACGTGGTCTCTCCCTGGCCTCACGTGGTCTCCCTGGCTCACGTGGTCTCTCCCTAGCCCCACGTGGTCTCTCCCAGCCCCACGTGGTCTCTCCCAGCCCCACGTGGTCTCTCCCTGGCCTCACGTGGTCTCTCCCTGGCCTCACGTGGTCTCCCTGGCCTCACGTGGTCTCTCCCTGGCCCCACGTGGTCTCTCCTGGCCCCACGTGGTCTCCTCAGCCCACGTGGTCTCCTAGCCCCACGTGGTCTCTCCCTAGCCCCACGTGGTCTCTCCCTAGCCCCACGGTCTCTCCCCAGCCTCACGGCTCCTCCCTGGCCTCACGTGGTCTCTCCTGGCCTCACGTGGTCTCCTCCCTGGCCCTCACGTGGTCTCTTCCTGGCCCACGTGGTCTCTCCCTAGCCTCACGTGGTCTCCCAGCCTCACGTGGTCTCCCTGGCCCCACGTGGTCTCTTCCTGGCCTCACGGTCTCTATCTCCACAGGACTGGCAGCTACACATCCGCTACGTGCAAGTGAGAGATGACGGTGTGCATGAGTGCTGGCCCTCCCACCCCCTGTCAGCCTCCTGTCTACCCTACACGTCTTAGGTGAGTACCTCCCCCGTCAGCCTCCTGTCTACCACACGTCGTCAGCCTGTCCCTACACGTCTTAGGTGAGTTCCTCCCGTCAGCCTCCTGTCTACCCTACACGTCCCCTGTCAGCCTCCTGTCTACCCTACACGTCTTAGGTGAGTCCCCCGTCAGCCTCCTGTCTACCCTATACGTCTTAGGTGAGTTCCCCCGTCAGCCTCCTGTCTACCCTACACGTCTTAGGTGAGTTCCTGTCAGCCTCCTGTCTACCCCACACGTCCCCGTCAGCTTCCTTGTTCACCCTACACGTCCCGCCGCCTCCTGTCACTCCCTACACGTCCCCTGTCAGCCTCCTGTCTACCACCCCCTTCCCCGCCTCTTTCCTTCTTCCTTCCTCTCCCTAATCCTTTCTCCCTACCTCTCCCTCCCCTACTCCCTCCCTTACCCCTCCCTACTCCCTCCTCCCTCCTCCTCCCTCCCTTCCTCCTTCCTTTCTTCCCCCTCCTTCCCTTCTTCCCCGCCTCTTTTCTTTCTTCCTCCCTCTCTTCTCCTCCTTCCCTCGCCACAAATGGGTGAATACATTTTGATAAAAAGTGGCGTAAGATGTAAAGGAGGAAGAGAGGGAAGTAGGGTCGGAAGAAGGAAGAGAGGGAAGGAAGATGTTCAGGTTATTACACTAAGTACGCCAAGGAGGAGAGAAGAGAGAGGGAAAGGTTGTGTTTGGGTACGGGAGAGAGAGAGACACTGAGGAGGGTGTGGGGGAAGGGAGAGAGACGGACGGACAGACATACAGACAAAGAAACAAAAAAAAAAAGAGAAAATAAATAAAACAAATTTGAAAATAAAAACATCATCACAATTAACTCATAAAATATTTACCTCACATCAATTTCAGTTCATAAGAGTGATTGAAAAAATATATAAAAATTAGTATGAAATTTTATTTTTTTATTTTCCAGATTCAGATATTGTAAACACTTCACTTTTTAACTTGGAAAATAGCGAAACAAAATGAAAAAAGATTTGGCTTTGACCTTATTTTTTTTTTAAGTTTAAAGAAAAAGAATATTATTATTGTTATTATTGTTGTTATTATTATTTACAACTAAATAATAAAAAACATTAATAATAAGAACAGCAACATCTACACCAATAATAATAATAATAATAATAATAAGAAAAAGAAGAAGAAGAAGAATAACAGCCTGAGCTCAGCAGTGACGTACAGTATAATGGATAATTGGGGATAAATGAGTGTCTGTCAGTCCTCAACCACCACAACCTCACCTAACCACCATGATTGTTACCTTCTGGGATTGGTAACTACTATTAAACTGTGATGTATTGTAAACTCACACTATAAACGTTTCTCCTGCTGTACCGAGGTTAAAAAGTTTAACCATTCCTGGCCTGGTGTAAGACCTGATAAACTGCTTGGTATAATACAGGCTATGGTCTCTCTCTCTCTGTCTCACACCTTTATTATAAAACGCAGTGACATAATAACCAGCCCATTGTCAAATGAATCGTATACCTAAACTTAACTCAACTCACCTAACCTAACCTAACCAAACTCAACCTAACCCAACCCAACCTAACTAACCTAACCTAACCCAACCTAAACCTTAACCAAACCCAACCCAACCTAACCAAACCTAACCCAACCCAACCAAACCCAACCTAACCTAACCCAACCAAACCTAACTCCAACTCCAATCTAACCTTAATTCCAACTAAAACCTAACTTAACTCAACCTAACCAAACCTAGCCTAAAATAGCCAAAAACACCGTAGGTTACGTTAGCCTCGTCAGTTGTCTAGTTTTGCTTTTATTTCTATTATAATTATTTTCCAACATAAGTCATCTGTCATAGAACGTTTCTTGGAAAAATCACATGCCCACGAACGCCAGGCGAAGGAATGCCCACACAGGTATTTGTCTCTAAATGAGAGGACAGTGGATGACAGTAACCTTGTTGATGTTAGGTTAGCGTTACGATGGTTAATATTAAGTTAGGTGTGGTTAGGTTAAGTTAGGTGTGGTTAGGTTAAGTTAGGTTAGGTTATCGTTGTTGTTTTTAAATTGAAGATGAAAGTAAGTTTATTATTGTTGTTGACAGAGGCGACGTCAGAGATCCTGGGAGGTCCTGAGAAGTACATGACGGTGGGCAGTTCGCTGAGACTCGTGTGTGTACTGAGAGACAACACACAACCACCCACCTACGTCTTCTGGTACCACAACCACCACATGATCAACTACCACGCCACCAGGGAGGTACGTCCTGTCATGGGGTACATCTGTCATGGGGTACGTCTGTCGTAGGGTACGTCTGTCATGGGTACATCTGTTAGGGATTACGTCTGTTATGGGGTACGTCTGTTATGGGGCACGTCTCTCATGGGGGTACATCTGTCATGGGGGTACGTCTGTTATGGCGTACGTCTGTCATGGGGTTACCTGTATGGGGTTACGTCTGTTATGGGGTACGTCTGTTATAGGATACGTCTGTTATGGGGTACGTCTGTTATGGGGTACGTCTGTTATAGGGTACGTCTGTCATGGGGTACGTCTGTCATGGGGTACGTCTGTCATGGGGGTACATCTGTCATGGGGCATCTGTTATAGGTACATCTGTCATAGGGTACATCTGTTAGGTGGTACATCTGTTATGGGTACGTCTGTTATGGGGTACGTCTGTTAGGTGGTACATCTGTTATAGGGTACGTCTTTTATGGGGTACATATGTTAGGGGTACGTCTGTTAGGGGTACGTCTGTTAGGGATTACGTCTGACATGGGGGTACATCTGTTATGGATTACGTCTGTTAGGTGGTACATCTGTTATGGGAATTACGTCTTTTATAGGTACATATGTTAGGGGGTACGTCTGTTAGGGGGCCGATCTGCATGGGGTACATCTGTTATGGGGTACGTCTGTTATGGGGTACGTCTGTCATAGGGGTGCATCTGTTAGGGGTACGTCTGTTAGGTGGTACACCTGTTGTAAGCTTAGCATTGTTGGGGTACGTCTGTTGGGGAGTACGTCTGTCATGGGGTACATCTGTTATGGGGTACGTCTGTTATGGGATACGTCTGTTATGGGGATACGTCTGTTATAGGTACGTCTGTTATGGGGTACGTCTGTTAGGGGTTACATCTGTTAGGGGTACGTCTGTTATGGGGTACATCTGTTAGAGGGTTACGTCTGTTAGGGGTACGTCTGTTAGGGGGTACGTCTGTTATGGGATACGTCTGTTATGGGGGTACGTCTGTTGGGGGTACATCTCTGTTAGGGGTACGTCTGTTATGGGTACGTCTGTTAGGTACATCTGTTAGGGGTTACGTCTGTTAGGTGGTACACCTGTTATGGGTTACGTCTTTATGGGGGGTACATATGTTACGGGGTACGTCTGTTGAGGGTTGCGTCTGACATAGGGGTACATCTGTTATAGGGTACGTCTGTTATGTGGGATACGTGGGGTCTGTCATGGGGATACGTCTGTTATGGGGTACGTCTGTTATGGGGTACGTCTGTTAGGGGTACATCTGTTAGGGGCACGTCTGTCTAGGGGTACATCTGTTATGGGGTACGTCTGTTAGGGGTACGGTCTGTTGGGGGTACGTCTGTTAGGGGGTACGTCCGTTAGGGGGTTACGTCTGTTGAAATTACGTCTGTTGGTACATCTTATAGGGATTACGTCTGTTATGGGGTACCTCTGTTATGGGGTTACGTCTGTTATGGGGTACGTCTGTTATGGGAGTACGTCTGTTATAGGGTACGTCTATTGCTAGGTACGTCTGTTAGGGGTACGTCTGTTAAGAGTACGTCTATTATAGGAAGTACGTCTGTTAGAGGGGCTTTTATAAATTACATCTGTTATGGGGTACGTCTGTTAAGGGGTACTCTGTTAAGAAGGTACGTCTGTTAGGGGGTATATATGTTATGGGTACATCTATTAGGGGTACATCTGTTATGGGGTACGTCTGTTAGGGGGTACGTTTATCAATGGAGTACGTGGAAGATGGTACCAAACCCTTCATTGATTGCCCATATAAGGTAATTTCTCAAGACACGTATTTAAGGATGAAAATGGCGTAATTTCCTGTTAGCGTTTTAGGGACAAGACAGATTTAATCATTCCACCATTTATCAGCGTACTAGCCTTTAGGGCGGTAAGTCTATTCTTTGTTATTTTTTATGACCTTTATTGCCCAGTGTTAGTGTGGGAGGAAGCATGTTGGGTAGTCACACGCTGGATAAACACCCTTTTCACCCAGGACATAAAGTTGAAAGTTCTGTGCACTATCACTGCCACCTACAACTGTGTCTCATGTCCGTTTCTCTCTTCTCGCAGGTCCGGGTGGAGAACAACGGAGGTCTAAGCGTGTTGTTCCTGAGTAACGTAAGACCGGCGGACTCTGGAACTACTCGTGTGCTCCCTCCAACGCTCGGCCAGCTCACATTTACATACACGTGTTGAAGGGTGAGTCAGTATACTAACCGTTGTAAGAGAGAGAGGGGGGAAGGAGTTAATGTACAACAAATCTCAGCTTAACCTAGTTTAACCTGACTAAACGTAACCTACAGTAAACCTAACCTCTCTCTCTCTCTCTCTTATATATATATATATATATATATATATATATATATATATATATATATATATATATATATATATATATATATATATATATACGTGTGTGTGTGTGTGTCTTTACTCCACTAACGCATATAAATGTTTTCAAAGAACATAAACTTCCTGGT